CGCCACAGACCTCATCTAGAGGACCCTCTCCAGCGCACTCGTCAGGAAGCCGGGCCAGTCCCGCTCCGAGATGGCAGCAGCAAGCGGCTCCTCCTACGGCGGCGTTTGATTCCAGGTCGAGGCTGGACCGGCTGGCATCAGACGATGACTTTTCCGCCTACAGCAGCCCCAACCGGAGGAAGAAGACGGCGTCGCCTGCACCGGCACCGGCGCGGAAAATGGCTGAGCCTGAGCCTGATCTGCTCTTCAACACCCAGCAGCCCAAACAATCCCAGCCTTTCCCCCAACGGCCAGCCCAACGACAACCTCAACGACCGGCCCAGCAAGCCCAGCCAGCCAAGCGACCCTCACCCCCCGCGCCGAAGCCTGCACCCCGCCCATCTCGAGAAATCCCCTCCATCAGCCCTGTGGCTCTTCAAACCTCGACACAGCACCGACTGGTAGGCACTGCGCACTTCAAGCGCGGTGACTATGCGTCTGCTCACTCCTCGTATACGTCCTCGCTGTCGACCGTCCCCTCAACGCACCCTCTGGTCATCGTCCTTCTCACTAACCGTGCCTTGACGGCCCTCAAGGTGGGCGAACCGAAGCAGGCGGTGGATGATGCCGACAGCGCGCTTAAGGTCATCGGACCTGGGAATGGCCAGGGCGAGGTTGTTGCGGTCAAGGCCGAAAGCGGCCAAGACGAGAACCGAGACATGAAGGATCTCTACGGCAAGGCATTGAGTCGAAAAGCGGAGGCTCTGGAGCAGATGGAGAAGTGGAACGACGCCAGCGCCGTCTGGCAGCTCTGCGTTGAGGGCGGTGTCGGCGGAGCCAACGCGATCAAGGGTCGCCAGCGCTGCCAGAATGCCCTCGCACCCAAGCCCAAGCCCACGCTCAAGCCGGCTGCCACACCACGACCCAAGCCCTCGGCGACGGCAAGCTTTGCGTCCCAGAAGAGCTCCGAGGCCGTGACCCGACTGCGGGAAGCGAACGAGGCCGCCGCGAAAGAGGACGACGAGAAGTTTGCTCTCTCGGAGAAGATCGATGCCAAGGTCGCGGCATGGCGTGACGGCAAGAGGGAGAACCTCCGGGCACTGCTGGGTAGCCTCGATCAAGTCCTCTGGGAGAACAGCGGATGGAAGAAGGTTGGCCTACACGAGTTGGTCATGGCCAACAAGGTCAAGATCCACTACATGAAGGCTATCGCGAAGACGCATCCCGACAAGGTAAGCATGGATCATGGCCTACGGACCGCAGTTCTGACAGTTTCTAGCTTCCCCAGGACGCCAACACCGAGGTGAGGTTGATCGCGGGCCTGGTGTTTAGCACGCTCAACGAGAGCTGGGACAAGTTCAAGACGGAGAATGGACTATGATAGATGAAGCATAAACGGAGTTTGTAGAGCGTGTTTGACTCGGCATAGAAGCGTGTCTTGGTCAAGGTGATGGATATGTCGAGGTGTGAATAAGGATTTCAGCGGCCGTGCCGCGCCGCCAGTAAACACCGTGCTATGCCCTACGTAAGCAAACCCATTTGGACGCCGTGACTCCGATCCTCATCCTAAACAGAAGCCTAGATCCTACGTCCTACAGCCCCAGCATCCTCCGGACGCCATCGCGGACCCTGTTCTCGTACTCGGTGCGGCGCTCGCGCCACATCTTGGCGGCCTCGACGTTGGCGGGACTCTCGTCGTTGGGCTCGGCCAGCATGCTCATGACGGAGATGAGGATCTTCTCGACGGACTGGATGGGCGACCAGCGCTCGGAGGCGTGCTCGTAGTGGTTGGGATCGTCGCCGGGGGGGTGGAGGATGGAGATGCAGACGAGGCCGCTGGGGTAGACTGGAGAGAGGAGTCAGCAACGGGATGCGAGAGCAGAGAGCCTCTAGGCGAACCGTTGGGATGCCACACGTCGGCCAGGAACTTCATCGACGGCGGCGCGAGCGGGTAGTCCTTGGGGAACTTGAGCTCGGCGGGGAAGACGCCGCCCTCAAAGGGCGTGCCCTCGGGGCCCTGGATGAGGCATTCCCAGTGCAGCAGGTCGTCCTCGGAGATGGGGCCGGCGGTGATGCCCTCGGGCGGGTTGTTGGTGAGGGCGCGGTACTCTTGGAGGAGGCGGCGGTGGGCGGTGGACTGGGCCATGGTGGAGAGAAGACACCGGTGGAGTTTGGAGTGAGGCTTGGAATCTGGGACTTGGACTTGGACTTGGGAGGTGAGGTGTGTGTGTGAGGTGGAGGATTGCGCCGCCGCCCGCGCCTCTCGGAATAGGTGGAGGCGGTCGTGGCGGGGCGGTCGTGGCGGGGCGGTGGGTGGGGTCTCCGTCTGCCGGATGAATGCCCCGCGGCGTGCGATTACGAGGGACAAGATAGACTGACTGTATCAACAGATGTTTAATAGTTTGGATCTTGGAGATAGCGTCCTCTCGACCAACTATACTTCCAATGTAGTCCAGCTTGTAGCAACTTGCGATCTTCGACAAACAACGGACAATGCCGGGCGCGCATTCACATCGATCATTCACTGTCCATGGTTCGACGCCGCTTTTTGTGCTCGACCTTTCCTCGAAAATCCTTTTCATACCACCCCATGGCCCGCTTCAACACCTCGTGAGCAATCTCAAACTGCTCAACCGTGGAATGCTCGGTAGCCCGTTCATCGTTCCACCAATCATCCAAGGGCTCGATCGCTCGGATCTGGATCAAATTAGAGTACGTGACGTGTCTCTCGAGGGTTTCGATGGTATCGTACGCCGGAATAACGGCGCGTGAAGGGGCGATCGCCGCGCAAATCTCACACTGCACCGTCGCAAGGCCTTTGCGCTTTGCCACGATCTGGGCGCGTCGGGCGAATTGCTCGAACTTCGAATGGAATTCTCTCGAAAGGTGACGGTCGAGCTCGTTCAAATCGTATCGCTTCGACTTCGTTTCGCTGTCGACGGTCTCGTCATTTTGACAAGACGGGCAGGGCGTTGTTTTGTCAAAACGGGATGTTCCCGTGCCGAAAAGCAGCCAAACTTCCATTGCGCAGCGGACGACAGTCGTGTAGTCCATCTTCCCAAGCTCTTCAGTGGATTTGGTCGCCTCGTCAGGAACAGTTTGTGTCTCTTCTCCACGCTCGATGTTGCCTCTGGATTGATCATCTACATCCTGATCGTTGCTTTCGATAACGAAACCCTCACCGAACGCGTTGTCTAAGTCTACTCCAGCGGTTTGGATCTCTTGCTCAACTGTATCGAGGTTGGAAGGTTGAGTGTCAGCAACATACTGCTTGGCCTGGGCCAAGACACGTCGGTTGAACTCGCTGATCATCGGCGGAACGACGTCAAAGTTCTCTGAGATGGCCGTCGTGGGGTCCTTTCGAAAGCTGGGCAAACAAACGCGTCCCGTGATTCCAACCTTCTCTGCGCGGAGTTTAAGGTAATTCGAGAGGGCTTCTGCTTGCATTGGCTCGTGCAAGTCAACGTCCCATTCTCCATTTTTGCCCGCAACCAAGACTGGTTTGTTGAGAAATTCCGGTTTAAACGTGATGAACCTTTTACTCCCGTGTAAGAGTTCATCGATTGTCTGGATCTCCCAGAGAACACCCCGCCGGAGAGCGATTGTCAGGATTCGATGAGGGATGGAAAGCTCGAGGTTCCGTCCTGCCGTCGGACTTTCAAACCACCTTTGTTCATGTTAGTTGGTTGTCCTACAAGCTGGTTTGATAGTAAACGGGGTAAAGAAGGGAACTTACAGAGAGAGTTGCTTGTTCTGATACTGACGTTCGGGGTCGATCGAGTTGGTCTCGAGGTTTCGAATCGCAACTTTGACCGAGAACTTGCCCACGACGCTCGATCTCTCAATTTCCAAGTCTCGCCACATGAGATATGGGAACTCAAATTCCGGATCGACGTTCTTTGGAGGGCCCAATGAACTAGGTTTGAGGGCCGCCATTCGGCCAAACACCCAAGCCAGATGGTGGCATTCTGCGAGTTCGATGCATCTGGTCTCCCTGATATCAAAGTCCATCATTTGTAGTAGCCCCCGAGGTCCAATCAGGGTCTCGGGTTTGACCCTCGCAACACGAATTTTGTGGTGGTGATACAGATATCGCACAATCTCGTCCAGGCTGGCTTGCACCTCGCCCTGCGCTGGAGGGTGGATCTCGCGCTCTATGTATTTTCGGTCGATCCAAAACAGGAAGCTGCGCCGAAATTGCTCTAGCATAGGACGGAGGGTCGTGTCATCCTCATCTGGACCGGGAAGACAAGTCAACGTGGTGAAGACGAAAAACCGTCGGAGTTGACTGAACAGCTTCTCAAAGGCCCGGTACCCTGTTCCTGGATCTGGGAAGCAAATTCGGTCTAAGGAAGCTTCGTCGTTAGCCTCCTCAAAAGTGCTTCTCACCCACTTCTGGTAAAGAGCCAGATCATTGTCTTGTTCCATTCGAACTGACAAGGGATGATGACGAAAACCACGAGCAGCCTCGTCGATCTCCTTCGTCGGTTCGTCGATCTCCACCAGCTCTGGGTGAGGAGTTCCATCCTTAGTATTCCCAGCTCGTTCGAGGAATCCCACAAACCCTTCTCTCCTTCGACCAATTCGGGGAGGCATTTCTGGAGCAGGTTTTGAGCGAGGTGGACGATGGCGAAGATTGAAGACTTGATGAACGAACGGATTTGTGCTGAAAGTAAGTGCTCGGAGAACGGAAATGAAGAGAGATGCAAGCCAGAGAGGAAGACTGAAGGCTGAAGACAATAGGAGGGTCAAAATGCACAGGTCGATGCTTGAATGAGGTGCGTTGAGGGAAACAAAACACTCCTGCTTAGGACTCCTAGTTAACTCAGCTCGGCTGGCAGCTGCCAACACTGCTCCAGGTGGCGACAGGTGCAAGGGCCGATTCTCAACTTTAGGTACGTTGGTTCTTATCTAGGGGCTAAGGTGCCACGCATAGCAAGACACTCTCGTTTGATAGTCTCTATTTTGTCTATCCATAGAGCGCTTCAACAGACAGAGAGAGAAGCAGACAGCAAAAATGTCGATGAGGCAGGGACTCGAACCCTGGCATCTTTCGATATAATGGTTTCCATTTGTGATAGAAAAGAATTCAATTTTCTTGAACATTGCGCTTTAGACCGCTCGGCCACCTTGTCCTTTCTGAAGGCATTTGCATCAACCACTCTGAACACAGTGATTGCCATGCCGATTTGCGAAACGCTTGTATCGTGCAAAAAAGAAAAGAGATCTGACAAGAGTGGGACTCGAACCCACGCGGATTGCTCCAGCAGAAAAATTCTTACTTTAAGTAAGCAAGCTAGTTATAGCTTGAGTCTGCCGCCTTAACCACTCGGCCATCTTGCCATTGGAATATAGCCTTGATATGAGAGCCTATATATCAAACCAAGCTTAGAGGCACATACTTCAAACACTCGACGCTTGGGTCATGCCCAACCCTCGTCCTCTCCGTCCAGGTCACCATCCATCTTACTCAGAGACGCATTCTACCACGTTCTGCAAAGTTCAAACTACTATCGCCGCACGTACGTAGGCACGTGGACATGCCGCTCTAACCAGCCCTACTCTTGTGATGCAGTTCCAGTTCGTCCGCAACGACGCCAAATCGCGGAAAACGGTCCACAGCCTTGTCATGAAGGGTTGAAACGTCGGACGCGCACATCCCCAGCGGTGTCAACGAGACAGCGGACAAGCTAAAGCCAAAGCCAACCAGAGGCATGAGGTCAGGCCCGATGATGGCGCATTGGCCTTGAGACGATGCATCGGTGATGCATTCCCGCTTTCGCCACGGGACACAATTGGACCCCCTATCAAAAGCTACGACTTCACCAATGTTAGTCATGATTAGGCTTTGTCTACAATCAACGTGCAGCTGGTGATGAGTTTTTGGTAGATTTCCTCGTTATCACAGAGGCTCTATACCCACGGGAACTCTGCTTGTCGATGGACGTTTACAAATCCCTCTGGTTCTAGAGTCTGTTCATCGATGAAGCATGTAAGTAGCGGACCTTACATACCGAAGGTTGTTGGAAAACAACACCAGGGTCACACTGACGCTTGTAGACTTCCATTTCGCTATCGCCATGACGAACACCTGTATCGACTTCTTCTTAAGGAAGACCGAGGAGTCACCCACTGCCTTAACCCACCTCTCTCGCACATTTCAGCTCTTGAACAAGCGGTTGGGCAGCAAAGACGCCGTCACCGACATGACGATCGGGCTCACCGCCGTACTAAGCATTCGTGAGAGCATGCGTGGCGATCTCAAGACCAACATGATTCATCTCGACGGACTGCAGCAGATGGTGGAGCTCCGAGGAGGGCTTAATTCTTTTGAAGACGAAGTGAGCGTTCTGCAGAAGATTTGCAGGTGAGTGGAAACTTTTGAGATGCGTACATTTAGCTAACTTCTTTCGAGGGCTGACCTCGAAGTACTTCCTCTTGAGCGGCGAATCGTCCCGCTTCCACTACGTTGACATGCCCCGACACATAGTACAACGATGATTGCGGGGACCGAGGAGCGATACCGACATGTACTCTGTGTCTTCCCAGAGGGTGCCTCGAGCAATATGCATCAACTAGTAATCGACACCCTCAACGTCAACACGCTCTTCAACGGCGACCCAGACTCGTCCAAGCCAAACGCGTTCGAGTTCCAGGCCATCATTCCGTCGTTGCTCCGCCGCCTGCTTTGTATCGACGAGACAGAGTTCGAGAGATTCACCCAAGTCCAGCTGGTGTGGTTCTTTGGCCTCGTTACCTTCGTCGGCAGTTTCATGTTCCAGTTCGGAAGACGCAGGTACCTGCGCTATCACCAGCTCACCCGCCGGGTGCAAACATGCATCGAGCAGTTAGATGGCGATCGGGCGTGCCCTAACGCGCCCGTTCTATGGTTACTGTTAGTCGGGAGCGTTTTTATGTGGGGAGAGGAGATAGATAACCACTGGTTGTTGCCCGCCGTAGCAAGGACGGCGTGCTTCATGGGGTTGTCGACGTGGAAGGGTGTGCTAGAGGAGTTGAAGCGAGCCCCGTGGGTTCACTCGGTTCACGCCCGATATTGGGAAGCGAACGTGGAGAACAGCCAATGTTGCGGCTTGAAGCCTTGGTCTTCCTCGACTATGGTGCGGAGAGCTACAGACCTCTGTGTCGACTCAGACACTCACCTCTTTATCCACCACCCACCCTTACGTTTCATACACCTTGCTCACTCGCTTGCTCCCTCAAGAAGACTTCTCTTCCCTCAATGCCCACCTTGTCCGCTAGCCCCGTGTTGCAGAGGCCAGGGCTCAGGAAGTTGATGACCACGCCCGTCTCCGAGTACGGGAAGATCCTGGCTAATTCACGGGCGACGAGGATCTTGTACAGGTTAGAAACCGAGTATCTGAAATATCATCAGGTCAGTTCGAAAGCCGTATAAGTAAGTGAGCTGCTTGATACGTTCATACCTTTTCGGTCTCGGGTTCATAGGGGATTCTCCCTCGCGATTGAGCGCAGCAAAAGCTCCGCCCCCGGCATCAACAAGCCCCATTGAATCGTGCTGTTCAAAGGCCACCCCGCTCGTCAATAGAACCATATGAGGCGTTCCCCCCGAATTTCTTCCCTGTGTCTCCCATCTTCGGCAATAAGTGCATCGCCAACATAACGGTTCCGAAGACGTTCCCGGCAATCGTATTCTCGTACCCTTCCTTATTCGTCTCGAAGAGATCAACCGCGACAGCAGCATTTCTGCACGAGTGCGTCGTTGACTCGCTTTGCGAAAGCGCGTATAGAGTCCCAAACGGTGGTGTCGAGATACCAGACGTCAATAGTGACGCTATCACGAGCTCCCACGATAGGCTCGATCCATTCCTTGGCTTTCTGGCCTTTAGGGAGGGAGCGGACGGCAAGAATGAGGCGCGAAGGGCCGAGACGGGCGACGTGGAGGGCTGCCTCGCGGCCGATGCCGTGATTGGAGCCGGTGATGATGAAGGTCTTGCCGGCGACGTGGGACTCGGTAAGAAGAATAGGGAGGTTTTGGCGTTGGGCCTGGATGAACTCTTTGGTATCCATGATGAAGAAAGGTCCAGACGGGAAAGCTGAAGTTGAGATGTCACAACAAGGCCAGGAAATATCTATAAGAGACGGACCAGTCACACTTATATATCCAGCACGATGAATATTTCGGGGGTTTCCATTCCGCAAAGCTCGGAGTTTGCGCTCTCTCTTTCCCACCCGCCCATGACCTAAATCCGTCTGGGCATCATTTCCCTCATTCAAAACCCTTCATGTCCCACGGTTTGCGAGGTTCAACCTCCTTGCATCTCGTCATGCCCTGCCTGCTGCTGAGGTGAGAGACCAATGAGAGAGCGATTTCCCCTTTAGGCAAAAGATCAACAGCAAACCCTTGGCAATGCCGGGGGCGCTGGTTCTCCGTCCCCGATTTCACCGAGATGCAACAATAGGTGGAAGTAGTATCGTGTTGTCCCCAATTGAGACGAACTAAGACTATGAAGGATTACGTTATAACCTAAGGACACGAGCATAACCTAAGGACATATGTATAACCTAAGGGCACATGCATAACCTTAGCAAGCGAACATTAATGCAATTGTAGGGTGTAATGATCTTTACGCGTGTGCCGTTTAATGATATATAAGGGAAGACTCTTTAGGGTCTTTGGAGCCTGGCGGCTGGATCGCTCGCGAGGAGAGTGCTCCTCTGTTGACTGACTGACGTCCGTTTGAAAACTTTTGGTGACGGTTTTGACCGCCTTCTTGCCTGTGGACTTCTCTGTCTTGTAATTTTTGCTCACTGTGACGTACAGGTCAACCGCATGATTCTTGTTGAGGGTGGCGAAAAGATTGAGGAGAGCCTCTGTTGTATGGTCAGTAAATGTTTGGACAACAGTTGAATGTTCAACATACCCGCTCTCTCTGTCTCAGCGAAATCTGGGATCTCGTGCTTGCAGAATGCCTCCAAGGCACCACTGTTCGCTTGTATGTTCTTCGAGCGAGTCACGAGCGGGTCCTTCCCAGAACTGAGAAGAAAGGCTTCGAACATCTGATAGATGAAGTCGGTGTCTTCGACAATCTTTGCCAGAACCTGCTCGGATCCTTTGAGCTCTTCTCTTTGAATGGTGCCTGCACCCTCCTTGCTCAAGGAGGATCGGTGGCTCAACACGCTGGGGGAATCGTCCCTGCTGACCAAGGAACGGCGGTTTAACTTCAGGTATCTGGTGGAGTTGTTAGTCCTAGAGTATAATGGGGATGGTGCGAGACAAAGTTGAGAGAATAGATGGGATAAAGGGTGTGAGATCGAGTCACAGATGGAACTCAATCAGGCGGAAGACTCACCGGAGTTCAGCTAGAATACTGATTTGAGAGCTGGAGTCCTGGATCTTTTCCACTGAACTGACTCTACGCCTGGTGTTAGTTTCGGTGCAGTTATTCAGTTAAGTTAAAGGTCTTGGTGCTTACCGTCTTGATTTTGCTCACCATAATCTAATCTTCAAGGCCGAAGGCTTGAGTGCTGAGTGCCGAGTGCCGAGTGCTGAGTGCTGAGTGCTGAGGGACTGGGGAGTGAGGGACTGGGGAGTGAGGGCGTGATGAAATGAGAGCGCAGGAGGAAACAAGAGCAGAAAAAGAAAAGGAGATAAGGGCAATGTCCTACCAGTGGCCTAACAGGTGTGTAGCATCTGGGCTATCCCATATAGGCAGCTATATACGTTCATAGTATCGCAACTGATGAGGCAGAAGGAAAGCCAGCTGCCCGGCGAGGTGTCGGGAAAGACCTAATGGTCCCACAGTGGATTTCTAGCAGAGAGTTAGCAACGGATTTCATTCTGGTAGCAACCTGAATGGGAACGTCGGTCAAAGTGATCTCACCATATTCGCTAATAGAAGTCATGCCGACTGAGGTATAGCCATGTTGAAGCACGCTGGTGGTGTGCGTGGTGGTGATGCTCAGTCGCAGTTGTGGTAGATGAAAGAACTGAGCTCCTCTGCAGTCAGAGAAACGAGGGTATTTATGTAGATGACTGGCACGAAGAGTCAGCGAATCAGCAACACGTGCGGGGAATGACGCAGTCACCGATGGAGGGAGGGTTTTTGCAAACCACCACAAACACAGTGGGATGTCCTCTGTAATCCGGAGAACACAA